GGCCTGAAGAATTAGGTGTGGTCACTATCAGTTCTAGTGTTTTTACTTTTTACCTTTGGTTTTCTCTCCTGTCATATGGCGATATCTACTTTAGTAAGTAGTAGTAAGGAAAGAATATTATGCTTTTTTTATTATTTTGATTTATGTGTATGAGTATACTGCCTGCAAGTGTGTAAGTGTACCTTTGTCATGCAGTGCTCTAGGAGGTCAGAAGAGGGTGTCAGATTCTCCTGGAACTGGAGTTACAGATAGTTGTTAGCTGCCATGTGGGTACTGGGAATCCAGGTCCTCTGCAAGCACAGCCGTCCTCTTAACCACTGAGCCATCTCTCCAGTCCCAATTATGCTTTTTATTTATTTTATTTATCTTATTTTATTTTATTTATTTATTTTTTTTGGTCCTTTTGAGAAAGGGTCTCCCTATAGTCCCAGCTGGTCTAGAACTCACTGTGTAGACCAGGCTGGCTTTGAACTCACAGATATTCACCTGCCTCTGCCTTCCGAGTGCTGGGATTAAAGGCATGTGCTACCACTCCCAGCCAAATTATGCATTTTATAAGCACATGACTTGTACTTACAAGTGCTGGTTCAAACACTGGACCAGTTCTTGGTCTTCCAGTGCTCTCTACTGGGCCCATGTGAGGAGGTCAGCACCGAGGCCTCACTTCCCTTTGCTCATCAAGACGTCTCACATTGCTGTGGCAGGCAATGGTCATCAAGGACTGTCCCATGTATGTTCGATGCTCAATAAAAATATCATAAGGAAGGAGCATATAAGAGCACAGGTGATTTGAAGGGAAAAGGTCAATAATGGGGGGCAGGGGTAAGTGGGGAGAGAGGGATTATGAATGCCAGACATGGAGAAATCTAGCTAGTACTGACCAGGAAGCTTGCTCCCTGCTGCCTAGCTCTCATAGTACTGAAAGGTGCTCTGCAGCCCACTGCGGGGAGTCCTCAGCAGTCTTGCCCAGTGTGAACCCCGTGAACTACAATAATGACCAGTATGGCAAGGTACAACCATGGTTGCAACAATGACAGGAATGTAATAGGGTGGCCAATCACTTTCTGATTAGATTTAAGGCCTACTCCACAGGAGGAAACGCATGTTCGGTATTGCTAATCTGGCTAAGAACCCATGGTTGGGGAACTTCTAGGCCCCAGGGGTGAACCTATGACTATTTCTCTAAATGGACATAGTATCAAACTACTGTCTAAATTCATATCCTTATACCCATAAATTAGTGCAGCTCTCAGACTTCATCAGAAAAGTTTCTTGCGCAGTACACAGTTTAACACAGAAACTCACAACTGGCCAAAGTACAAAGATTATGTGTCAATGGAGTGATCAGCCACAAATGGGACTTCTGTATTACCCCCTACGAAGGCTCAGGGACTATGGAGGAAGAGGGGGCAGAAAGGTTTTAAGAGTCAGAGGTCACCAGGCATGGTGGTGCACGCCTTTAATCCCAGCACTTGGGAGGCAGAGGCAGGTGGATCTCCGTGAGTTCAAGGCCAGCCTGGTCTACATAGACCAGTTGGGGATACAGGGAGACCCAGTCTCAAAAAGACCAATTAAAAAAAAGAAAAGAAAAAAAAGAGCCAGAGGTCAGGGAAGACCAGAACAAAACAAGGTCTTCTGGTCATGACAGGACTGCTACAAGATTAATTCAGTCAACATTCCTGCTTCTAGTGGGGCGGGGCTAAAGAGCCCCCACCCCTAGCTGAGGGTGTATTGACAGTTGATGACTTCCTGGGGAGGGAGAGTCAGTCTTCTTTAAGGGTGTGGTGCCTGGTAGATGGACCATGCTCAGTGGATGTCCCACACCCAGGAGTATATGGGCAGCACAAATTAGACTCAGTGGATTATAAAAAAATAAAATCAAATACAGACATGAAGTTCGGAGAGGGTGAAGGATAGAGATGTTATTAGGGGGAGTAAATATGATCAAGTGTATGCATTTGTGAAATTCTCAAAGAATTAATAAATATGTGTTTTTTAAATGTCATAATATGATGGACAGCAGTTGCTAATACTTATATAGCAGTTATGCTGTTCCAGAAACAGTCTGTGTCCATGAACTCCCCCACTCTGCATTATAACTCCCTCCACCTGCACCATACCCCCCCACCCCCCACCCCCAAGGCTCAGTGCTCCTGTTCTCACAGCTGCTTTGGAATGCTGTCAGACAACAGCAGCACAGGTGGCAGCCATCACTGATTAACCTTTATCCAGAGCAGGAAAATGGATGAAGCAGACCTCTGATCCCAGCTATTTGAGAGGCTGAAGCAGGAACATCCCAAGTTTGAGGCCTGCCTGGAGCAACATAGCCAGACCCTGTCTCAAACAAAAAGTAAAAGATCTGATGGGGGAGGGGAATGGCAAGGAGACGCTCAGCCGGTAAAGGGCTGGCATCATTGCTCAATGGTAAAGGTGCTTGCAGCCAAGCCTGCCCACCTGCGTTCAATCTCCCTGACCTGCCTGGTGGAAGCAGAGAGCTGACTCCTGCAATTGTCCTCTGACCTCCACACACATGTGGCATGTTTGTACTCCCTGCCACATGCACATAAATGATTAATGAAAAAAGTTTTAAAAAGAGATTTTGTCTCAAAAAAAACAAAGTTCTCTGGAGAGCAATAGAGGAAGACATCTGAAGTTGATCTCTGGCACACACACACACACACACACACACATGCACACACACATACACATACATGTGCACACACACACAGAGACTGCTGGAGATGTAGCTCAGTGCTAGGGCAGTCTCCTGTAATATATGAGTTCCTGAGTTGCATCCCCAGCACTGGAAAGCAGATCAGTCTGTCAGAGGTGCTGGCTAAGCACTGAGTGTCCATTCGGGTTGGGCCTCGCTGCACCACAGGACCTGGGCTCTGCACCTCTGTGTGACATTGCTGGGAGGTACAGCACTTTATCCGTGTCCCCCACCAGCTCAGGCAGTGTCCATGGGGAGTCTTCTATGGCTTACATCATGTACTGACTTGGGCTGTAGATCTCTTCTCCTCTTATTTGGGGTACATGCTTTTTGCTCTTCTAGGTTGAAAATCTCTAACCCAAATTCTGCAGCACCCCCAAATCTGAATAGCTTTGAACACCAACATGATGATACAAAGAGGAAAATTCCATCACATAAAAATCTCTCTGATACACAAATTATTAATTTAATTATTAATTATGAATTACCAAAAAATGTGCAAAGTTACCTCCAGGCTACATATTTAGGTTGTACATGAAACAAATGAATTTTGTGTTTAGACTTGGTTGTTATGCCTGAGATAGTTCATAATGTATGTGAAAACATTCTAAAATTGAGAAAATCTGAAATCTCAAAGTCTTATGGCCCCAAGCATTTCATATAAGAGATGCCCAGCCTGTGTGCGTTATAATTCCATACAAATGACATGTTTTTAACAACTTTTAGAGAGTCACACGGTTCTCAGAGTTTGGGACAGTGGGGGTGGGGCGAGAGAATGAATCTGAGGCATGTACTTCAGGGAATGTAACTCACTCATTCCCCTTAGCCTCCTCCTCTGCATAGGACTGAGCTGCATGGTAGGGATGTTGCTGAATGATTCTGACGTATGCATGCGGGAGACTATAACCTAAAAGTTGAAAAGATCTGAACTCACTCAAAATGGGTATTTATTCAACTCATGTCCAGTGATTTCTGCTGCCCTGACTGTATTCTTGCTCCTGGGCCAGCTGGAAGGATGCCTCTGGGCTCTGGCACCTCCAGTCCTCCTACTCCTCATGCCTCCTTGCCCCCACCTCCACCCTCCCACCCCAGCCTCTGTCTTAGCTCTGGGTAGCTGCTAGGCCAGCAGGTGACATGGATCCATTTAGCTCCCCTTCCTTTGCTGCTGTTTCCATCTGACTGGAGCTCTTTGGCCTCCTGCTCTGAATCTCTGCTCTGGTTTCTTGCTAACTAGTTAGGTGATCCCATCCAGCCCCATAGGTTTACAAAGATTCCATTTAAAAAAAAAAAAAAAAAAGCCAAACTGTTGTTTCCCTACTTGATAGAGAGCACCCAGTGAGAAATCTCTTTAAAAAAATAAAAATAAAAATCAGAGCTCTTCTGTTCTTATGAACATTCTAAAATCAAAACAAAGAAAAAGAAATAGTTTTGTTTCTACACTGTAGATCATTCCAAGTAAAAATCAGGAGTCTGGGTTTATTTTTTATTGAATGTTGGGCCCCTGCTTCTCCTTGCTTCACTTAAGTGGCATTTAGATATTTAAAATGAAAGGTCCATAGTGTGTTGTGCTGGTCTGGGGAGAGTTCACGGATGCCCAGCCTGGGAGGAGGTGAGGGTCTTCAGAGATGTGCAGTGTTTTTATCGCTAGAAATCATTTGTATTTCCAGCTGTGACTCTGGCCCTGGAGCCCCCTCCCCCGCAACCACCTGGATTTGCATCTGGCTCTGCCTCTCTGCAAAGTAACCTTGAGCAGATTACTTAAATCTTTCCCAACCTCAGTTTCCCTATCTCTAGAATGGAGAGAAGGATAGTACTGACCTTCTAGCAGAGCTGTGAGGATTAAGCAAATTATCATGCTAGAAATAGCCCATGGCTCTGTGTTCAGCAACTGCTGTTATTCTATTGCTATTATTGTCCTGTTGGTCCTCTCTAAATTCTTATGAAAAGGAAGTTTATAGTCACTGTGTGAATGTGATTCTCTTCTGAATGAAGTGTATCAGCCACCAAAGGCTTGAGCAGAAAATAAAGGCAGGTGCAAACCGGGAGTTCAGAACCAGCAGGAGTTTTTCATGTAACATATTGGTAAGCAAAACACATTAAAAGAATTGATTGTCCCTTATCTATTTGGCCCTCTGGTATCTTTTTAAAAAGTGGCTTCTTTTAAGCATAAGTGATATTCAGTGCCTTGTGTCTACAGAAAATGATGGTCATTTTATAGAAAATAGGGAGCAGTCCCTTCGACTTTGAGTGAGTGTTGACTGTACCTTTGCTCCTATCTTTGCTCTAGAACTCTTTGGGGATAAATAATCTGATAAGAGCCATGGCTTTAAAGCTGCTACTGGACCAAAGGAGAACATTCATCACCTTCCTGCTTTTATTAGGCTATTTGGTAAGTAAACTCTTCCTTTCTTTCATAAGAATATGGAGAAAGAATTCATATTCTCATCCCAAGGTATGGATATGGTGATGCAGGCCTATAATCTCAGCCCTTGGGGCTAAAGCAAGAAAATTGCAAGTTCAAAACTAACCTGGCCAAGATAGCAAGACCCTTTCTCAAAAGAAATAAATAGTACCAAAACTATTTTCTATATATGATCTCATTTTTAAAAAAATTTCTTTCAAATTGCTTTTGATCATTTTCACATTTAGAAAATTGCTAAGCCAGAAAGTTTGTAATGAGTGTTGAAATGAGTTTATTTAAATTTAAATGAAGTCATAAAGTTGCCATGTTACTATGAGCAGTACATTGAGACACTGACCATAAATTATAATTTGATCCCCATGACTTATGAATTCAGAATAGTGTGGTGGTGGTGTTTTGTGGTTCTGGGTACTGAATTCAAGGCTGTGTGCATGCTAGGCAAGCACTTTATCACTGAACTACATCCCCGGACCAGAATACAGTTTTAAGAGTGTTTTGATATAGTGTTCTTGATTTCAAAAAAGTATTAAATGGAAAATCGAGAACTTTAATATTTGAAAGTGTGACAAAAGACCTATGAAGGTAATCAGGAGAACTGAAATATGTTTATTCTGGAATGAGGACCTTCAAGTCAGAGGATGATCAAGTCTGAAGAGAGCACTCAGGGTCTGGGAAGACAGTCAGTGGATGTGAAGTCAGGGTGAAGTCTGGATCCAGGTAGCAATGAGGAGAACTTTTCTGTACATTATAGCTGTTAAACACTGGATAAATGGCCTAGGAGAGAAGTGGTAGAATCTCTTTCTCAAAGAGATTACAGGCTATTTGTGGCAAAAGGGAAACTCCTACCCATCTTAAGTAAAGCCAGACTCCCCCAAGAAAGTAGTTGAGTCTATGGAAGGTAGGAGGGAGAAAAGACCTCTAACCCCAAAGAACTTTCTAGTTCCTAAATTCTCCTTCTCATTTGCTCTGGAGACTTTGAAAGGGACTGGCAGGTATCAGTATGGATAGTCCTGCTTCAGGCTGGGGGGTTTGGGGAGTGCAACTACCCATTATTACGAGTGATGCTGGTCAGACGCAACAGTGTCTTACAGGCTTAACAGAGGTCTTTAGCTTTCACTTAGAAAAACAAAATTATCACTAATAATGTTATTCTGGGCATCCTGCTTAGGAAACAAGCTCGAAGTGAATTGTCTTCACCACTTCTGAGATATTGTTAGTGCCAATATTTTTCTTATTTACTTTTTAGTTTAAAATTTTTTTAATATTTTATTGTTTTTATTTTGTATCTATGAGTATATATCCTACATGTGTGTAAGTGCACCTGTGATGTGCAGTGCCCACCAACGTCAGAAGAGAGCATCAGATTCCCTTAGAACTGGAATTATGGATGATTATTATCCCCCATGTGGGTGCTAGGAATCAAACCCAGTTCCTCTGCACCTCTTCAAGATCAGCAGCCAGTGCTCTTAACCATTGAATCATCTCTCAAGCCCCAGTTTTATTTTATTTATTTATTTATTTATTTATTTATTTATTTATTTTTTTTTTTATGTAGACCAGGCTGGCCTTGAACTCACACAGATCCACCTGCCTCTGCCTCTGAGTGTTGGGATTAAAAGCGTGCACCACCACACCCAGCTCAGTTTAAAATTTTTTATCCTATAAACTTCTCAATAAATAAACAATAAAAACAACCAAAAGTTTCATGCTTTCAGCTATCTCAGCAGATCCCATAGCTTTTTTTTTTTTTTAAGACAAGGTCATGTGATGCCAGGCTAGACCCAAACTAGATACAGAGCTAAGGATGGCCTTGAACTTCTGATCCTCCTGCCTCTTTCTTCTGAGTGCTGGGATTACAAGCATGTGCCACTGTGCCCAGATTATATGGTACTGGGAATCAAACCAAGCACTCTACCAACTAAGCTACATTCCCAGTCGAAGATAACCTTTAAAAATTGTCATTTAGGGGCTAGAGAGATGGCCTAGTGCTTAAGAACACTGGTTGTCCTTGCAGAAGGCCTGGCTTGGAATCCCAGCACCCACATGGCAGCTAACAATTGTCCTTAACTCCAGTCCCAAGGGATCTGTCAGACTCTTCTGACCTCCAAGGACATTGCACGACACAGATGCACTTACTACATGCAGGCAATAACACGCATACACATAAAATAAAATTTTAAAAATTGTCATTTAATTTTTACTTATTTTAAAATTTTGAACAGGTATATATTGTGTGTTGAGCATCATTGTCCGTCTTGCCCTCCTTTTTCTCACTCCCCCTGTTGTCCCTTTTGTCCCCTAAAGTTTCAGTTCTACTTTCATTATAGATATACACACATGCTTTTATGTGACTGTATAAAAGACAGGGTCTAATGTAATCCAGGCTGGCCCCCAACTCTCTGCATAGCTAAGAATGACCTTGAACTTCTGGTCCTATCTATACCTCCTGAGTGCTGGGATTATAGGCATTCACTGCCACATCTGGTTTATACAGCACTGGGGATTGAATCCAGAGCTTCATGTAGGCTAGGTCAGCACTCTACCAACTGAGTTACATCCCTGCCCAATACTGGTACTTTAATAGAATATTATCAGGAAAGTGCCAGCAATATGGCCCAGTGGGCAAGGACTCTTGCCACCCAGCCTAATGACTGGAGTTTGATACCTGGGACCTGCATGTAGAGGTAGAGAATCAACTCTCACAAGTTGTTTTCTAACCTCCATGTACATGCGTACCATAGCATGTGCACACACACACATACTCGCATAAATAAACAAATGCTTAAAAAGCTTTTTAGAGCAGGTAAACACATTTGTAGGATGATAGTAATAAGGCGAACTTATTTTTAGTTGTTAAAAAGAGGGGGAAAGCATAATTAATTAGCTAATTAATTTTGGAAACAATTACTTACAACCTTATTTTTCCATCTATGACCTATACTCTGAGCCAAAGAATACTGTTTGATCCTAGAAAGACTGGATGCTGGATGATAATCAGTGAGGCTATGAGTTCAGGTTTACACAGCATTCTCCGTTAGAAGAGTTGAGAGAGTGTGGCCATTTGTCATCTTCATCACCATCATCCTCAGGAGGTTGAGATCTATCTCATGATTGCCAGGTAGGAGCTTTGAAAGGTGATCTCTGAATACACTACAGTGCTTCAATAGGTTAACGGTCTCCATCCACTCAGGTGCAAGGACTTGGTAGGAGGATCAGGAGCTCAAAGCCAACTTGGGCTACATCTGAGGCCCTGTCTCAAATAAAAACAACTAAACGAACAAACAAACAATACGAAGAGAACAGATGCAGAAACTTCTAAAGGACAATTCCAAGTTGTTGTGGCTGTATGACTGTTATGCCTGTGTATGCATTCAGTTCATCATACCTGAATATGTTTATATTTCTTTATCCTTTGCATTTATGTGTGTGTATATATATGGGTACACATGTGCCACGAAACATGTGGAGTTCAGAGGACTTTTGAGAGTTGGTTCTCTCCTTCCACCATGTGGGTCCTGAGGATAGAACTCAGGTTGTCAGGTGTGACAGCTGAGCTCTCTCTCTCTCTCTCTCTCTCTCTCTCTCTCTCTCTCTCTCTTCATTTATTCATGAGTTTATGTGCACCACATGTGTACAATGCCATGGTAGAGAGAAGGTGTCTGAGCCCCTGGAACTGGAGTTACAGGCAGTTGTAAGCTGCCTGGTATGGGTGCTGGGAGCCAAATCCAGGTCCTCTGCAGAGCTCTTAACCGTTGAGCCATCTCCGTAGCCCCCTATATCTCTTTAAGATCAAAAAAGTTTTATTTATTTATTTATTTATTTATTTATTTATTTATTGGTCTTTTTGAGACAGGATCTCCATAGCCCTAGCTAGCCTGGAATACACTATGTAGATCCGGCTGACCTTGAACTCACAGAGATCCACCCGCCTCTGCCTTCTGAGTATAAAGATTAACCACACCTGGCTAATGTTTTTTTTTTAATTCAGATTTTTTTCAGGTAGCAAAAGACCCTGCCTGGGTCCCTGCCAGGTTGTTCTTTTTACATCTTTAAAATGCCAACAGCCCCAAATTCGCTTTTACTCCCAAATAAACAGAAGAGTAGAGAGGAAGGTGGTAGCTAACCAGACAAAGGGACACCCTATTTATGGAATAAATGCACATTCTCTAGGATATGAAGAAGAATCTGAGTCATGGATTTGTTCCACCAACTCATTCAAAACTTATCTTTTCTTCTTAAAGTGAAAATTAAGTCGACCTCACTCTGAGGTAATATTTATACTCAGCGATTATGTGATCAGCACACAAGATAATACCCCTTTCTTGCAAACTATCTAAGGAGCGTAGTTGAAGATAACATTTTTTGTGAAACATTCTTCTTTTTCAGTCATGTAAAGCGATTTGTGAAACTGGAGACTGTAGACAACAGGAATTCAAGGATCGGTCTGGAAACTGCGTTCTCTGCAAACAGTGTGGGCCGGGCATGGAGTTGTCCAAGGTACATGGAGAATACAGGGTTGTGCTTCTGTTTAAAAATGCATTCTTTTTAACTAAATTCTTTTAGTTAATTATTAGCGAAGCTTTGGATAACATGACAGAATTCTTGGTTCATTATGTCACTTTAGCCAGATATGATGCAATTCCCCTTTCAATTTATGCACCTTTCTGAGTTAAGTACTAACAGAATTCAACAAATTGACGCATGTAACAGTATTTATAGTATTTCACCGATAGAATATTTGTTTATTTGGGTTCTAAAGAACCAATATTCTACCAAAAGCTTAAAATAGAAGCATAAATAAATAATAGTAAATAGTAAAAATAGAAATGCTTCCATTTCCTGGGTCTTCTTTTTCTTGAAACAATTACCATTGTTAGTAAGTGGTATCCTAAGTAAGGCTGCTCCACAGCAGGCCAGCATCTTGAACTCTGTACTGAGGAGACAAACATCACTATTCTTCCACACTGAGTCCACTCTCAGGAGCTCTTTAACATCCGCATTTTAACTTTTTATTAGCAAATAGTGGTTCACAGCCACATAGGCATATTTCAGTCTTGCATCTTGGAGCTATCCTTTTGTTTTATTTTCTGATCTTTTGAAGATGTTGCCAGTTGTGGAGAACTGATGTAATGTTTTGTTCTAAATAAAGCATCAAAGTCTTCCTTTCAGAAAAGGGACAATGGATTTTTATGTAAGGTAACTTTTAAAAGGAAAGCCTCATTCCCCTACAGACTACCATTAATAAAGCTGATTCTTAACATTCATAGATTTTTGATCAATGATCTACAACAGCAGGAAACAAACAAAAAAACCTTTGCATTCCACAAGTCCACCCTGGTGGAGGGCTTTTTTCCTCTGGTTGTTGTGTTAAGTCAGTGGTGGCTGACTTTAAAACTGTACTGAAACCCAATGACCTTCCAGCTGTGTGTGACAGCTAGTTAATTACAGCACCTCAACAGTCTTTCTGGTTCCTCCAGATTGTACCAACATTCACTTTAGACGTAGGTTCCGCCATGTTGTGTGGGAGAAGAGTCTTGGGTCCTCTTGTTGAGGGCCAGCAAACAAAGGAAAGTGCCAGGGGATCTGAGAGAAAATAGACAATGTTTTTACTCCTCAGAAGCCCTTGGCCTAACAGACTGTGAAGCTATAAATGAAACTTTACAGACCCTGAGACAAGAAAACCATTTCTAAGAGTGTGTCTACTTTCATCCTTTGAATGTGGAGTGTATAACCTTAAAATGATTAGAGAATCAGACCAGAAGGACCTGAGGGTTCAATCAACTGTAATTTTTTTGATAAAAAAGTAATTTTCTAGTTTCTGGTTGCACACATCAGGAGCTTCCAAACAGCTGAACAAACTAAAGAATCAGCAGCTCTTAGATCTGTAAGAGGTGAAACCATGGGAAAAACTACTGACCCTCTCCCCCCAAGTCCAGCAGATAGAGTCACATACACTGCAGCAGAAACATCCTTCAGCTCCTGCCTCCAGGAAGCCTGGACTGGAATTGACAAATTGCCAAAGCCCAGGTACAGAGAAGCTGAAAAGTGCCCAACTCCAGAGGAACTCTGGAAGTGTGGCCTCAGGAGAACAAGTAGGCTGTCAGGAAAAGCACCAGAGAAAAGTCCTTGTTCTTCTAACTGCTGGAAGGAAGGGTGGGGCCTTTTGGAATAGGTCAGAGTACTGTACTTCGAGACAGCCCACTCAGGGGACTGCAGGGTAACTCGCTGGGGTATTGCCAGAACCTTACCCAGAAGAGGGAAAGACCCCGTGTCAGACCACTCCAGCTTTCCTGTCTCAGCAAAGGTTGGGGTAGAGGTAGTGGGGAGAAAACTTTGATGGTCACAGTCCAGGATCACTGGCTTATATCAGACAGGCCTGATGACAGGACCAGGGCCTGTTGCTCTGTCCTGACGGCTTTACTTCACTAAAGACCTTTTTAGAGCAGCCTTCTTTACCTAGTATATCAGGTATGGCTTGTAACAAAATCTACAAAGCACACTAAAAAGCAAAAGCTCAGTTTGAAGCTACAGAAAGTGTCAGAAAAGAAGATGGCAGAAGTATTGGTATTATCAGACAGAATTTAAAATGGCTGTAATTGATACACTGGGAGGCTGTATAGGATAAAATAGGCATTATGAGAGAATTAGATGGACAGTATAAGGTGAGAGATGGAAATCCATGGAAAGACCCAATGACTAAAAAAATAAATAATAAATTAATAGAAGCTGGAGATGGAAAACAATAACAGAAATGAAGATTGTCTCCTCATATGGGCTCATTAGTAGATTGATACAACCAAGGAAAGAGTCTCTGAACTTGAACATCTACCAGTGGGCACCTCACAATAAAAACTGAGAGAGAATAAAGATTGAAAGAAACAAGAACAACAAAACAGAACTGATTACCTGAGGATTGTGGGACAGCTACAAAAGGAAGCGTGAAGAGTGGGGATGAAGGAAGAAAGGAATGAGCAGATGAAAGATTTAAAACAATGATTTAGAATTTCTCCAGATTAAGGTCACACACTAAAACCTGCAGACCTAGAAGCACACAGACCATAATTTATTTTGGTAAAATAAATGCCAAAGACTGTGGCATATGAGTTTTAGACTACAAAAAAGCAAAGATTAAAGGAAAAAAGTCCTAAGACAAGCTAGAAGGAAAAAAAAGAACCTTATCTATAAAGGAGCAAAGATAAGAATGTTTGACTTCTCAGAGAATGTGCAGACAGAAAGCACCAATCAGAGCCCCTGCAGTGTGAAATTACAGTGAAGGAAATGCAGACTGGTGGCCCAGGCGTGCACCCTGCCTCAGGAGGCTGAGGCAGTGGGATCCTAAGTAGGCCAGCCTATACAACATGGAGTTCCAGACTGACTAAAGTGTAAGAAAGAAAAGAATCCAGCAGTGAAGGAGGGACTTGAACATCCATCCCTCTGTTAGATGGGCAGATCAGATCCAGCAAGCAGATCATCAGCAAAGACATAGCTGAGGTTAACACCATCAGTCAACTGGATGCAACTGACACCTAGAGACGCTTTCATCCAGTACAGGCAGAATGCGCATTCTTTTGTCACTCATGAAAACTCACTGACCTAGACCATGTGTTGTGTCCTTAAATACTTAACAAATTTAAAAGAATGTTTGAAACTTAGTAAGGAAATCCCTTGTTAATAGACTAAGGAAGAATTGCACAATTGAGTAAAGCTGTTTATATAAACAGCCATGTGCAGGCGTTTGTGTGGTTTTCAGATCCTTTGGGTAAGTATTAAGGAACAGATGATAGGCTGACTGAGCTCACGCCCTGGATGAGAACTCCTGCTGCTCTGCATCCCTCACCCACCTTAGGTGTCGCCAGTGTGGAGCGCAGTGGCATCTCGCTGTTGTTTTAATCAGCCTTTCCTTGGTGGCGCCTGGTAGGGACACATCTTCATGTGTAGTTACTTTCCTTAGGTCTCTGGTGAAGCATCTCTTAAGGTCTTTGACTCATTTTTAAATCAGGTTGCTTGTTCTCTTAATGTTGAATTTTGAGAGCTAAAAAATATATATATGCTGGATAATGGGCTTTTGCCTGATATCCTTTAAAAAAAAAAATTTTGGCAGATATGTTTTGCAAATATTTCCCCCAGGCCTGCAACTTGTCTTTTCATTCTTTTGACAGTTCTTTTCTCAGTACCTTGAAAAGAAATTTAGGAGCTGGAGATATGACTCAGCAGTTAAGAGCACAGGCAGCTCTTGCAGTGGACCAGGGTTTGAGTCCCAAGACAGGATTATTTTAGGGCAGTAAAAATATTCCTTTTGAGAGCTGGAGAGGTGGCTCAGCGGTAAAGAGCACTGACTGCCCTCGCAGAGGACCTGGGCTCTATTCCCAGAACCCACATGGCAGCTATGAACCGTCCTTAACTCCACTTCCAGGGGAATCCGAAGCCCTCTTCTGACCTCTGTGGCATTGCATGACACAGGTGCACTCACATACATGCAGGCCATACACTCATACACATAAAACAAAAAAATAAATAAATTATAAACATATATATATTCCTTTTGATATAATAGTGGACACATGTTTATATGCATTTGTCCAAAAATCATAAAACATACAAGGCCAAGACTGAACCCTAAAGTATTTAAATAGGGGCTTTAGATGCAATATTCATGGATTGAATGGATTGAAGGAAGTTGATAATGGATGAGGCTACATAGGGTTAGAGGAGACAGGGAATACACAGGGGACACACAGGTGGATTCACAGGTGTATGCACAGGGGAATACACAGGAGGATGCACAGGGGGATACACGAGAGGGGGATCATGGGGGATACATAGGGGGTGATATACATGGGGGCAGGGAATGAAACAGGGATACACAGGAGGATACATGGGGGACACACAGGATATCAGAATCTTCCTTTCATTTTTACTGTGAACCTTAACCTGAATTTTTAGCCAGACGCAGTGGCCCATGCCTTTAATCCCAACACTCAGTAGGAAGAGGCAGGCTGATCTCTGTGATGCCAGCCTGATCTACATAGCAAGAGCTGGTCTACAGGCCAGCTGGAGCTACAGGGAGATGCTGTTTTAAAGAAAACGAACAACAACAACAAAAATAAAGTTTTCAAGAGAAGGCTCTGCAGTTAAGAACAATGGCTACTCTTGGGTTTAGATCCCCAAACACACAGGTGGCTAACAACCATCCAGAACTCCAGTTCCAGGAGATCTAATGCCCTCTTCTAGTTTCCACAGGTACTGCACACATGGGTGCACTTACATATGTGCAGGCAAAATACACACATAAAATAAAAATAAATTTTTATAAAAGAAGTCTTCAGATTTGGAGAGGTGGCTCAGTTGGTAGCATGCTTGCTGCAGAAGCATGAGGACCTAAATTCGATTCCCCAGAATCCACATTAAAAAAAATTCCTTGCCGGCATGGCAGCATGCACCTATAGTCCCAATACTGGGCCTGCAGGGACAAGAGGCTCCCTGGGGCTCACTGGTCA